GGAGTATCTAACAGAACCAACCATCCAGTACTTAAAAACTAGAGTCTGTGAATATTTAGGAGTATCTAACAGAACCAACCATCCAGTACTTAAAAACTAGAGTCTGTGAACATTTAGGAGTATCTAACAGAACCAACCATCCACTACTTAAAAACTATAGTCTGTGAACATTAAGGAGTATCTAACAAAACCAACCATCCACTACTTAAAAACTAGAGTCTGTGAACATTTAGGAGTATCTAACAGAACCAACCATCCACTATTTAAAAACTAGAGTCTGTGAACATTTAGGAGTATCTAACGGAACCAACCATCCACTACTTAAAACTATAGTCTGTGAACATTTAGGAGTGTCTAACAAAACCAACCATCTACTACTTAAAAACTATAGTCTGTGAACATTTAGGAGTATCTAACAGAACCAACCATCCACTACTTAAAAACTATAGTCTGTGAACATTTAGGAGTATCTAACAGAACCAACCATCCACTACTTAAAAACTAGAGTCTGTGAACATTTAGGAGTGTCTAACAAAACCAACCATCTACTACTTAAAAACTATAGTCTGTGAATATTTAGGAGTATCTAACAGAATCAACCATTCACTACTTAAAAACTATAGTCTGTGAACATTTAGGAGTATCTAACAGAACCAACCATCCATTACTTAAAAACTATAGTCCGTGAACATTTAGGAGTATCTAACAGAATCAACCATCCACTACTTAAAAACTAGAGTCTGTGAACATTTAGGAGTATTTAACAGAACCAACCATTCACTACTTAAAAACTAGAGTCTGTGAACATTTAGGAGTATCTAACAGAACCAACCATCCACTACTTAAAAACTATAGTCTGTGAACATTAAGGAGTATCTAACAGAACCAACCATCCAGTACTTAAACCCAGCCACTCATCCATTCGTTCATTCTGAAACCACCGGTCACAATATTTCTCTATCATCACCACATGATCTTCAGACCTTGACCTCTACATTAAAGAAAGTCAACTCATAGCTAAAGATCGCCCGATCCTTAACGACTCACAAAGCTCTTTAGATCTAAAATTGTTCTATATTTTCACACTTAACTCAGCTGTTATGTAATATATATGTATAATCACTGTTTCATCCGTCCATTTGTCGCTTTCCTTAATAACTATCGAAAAGTTATTCCGAAACGTTCGAACATTGTAAATAGTTTTAATACTTTTAGGTTTTGTCAACCGTCTTCATCTTCATTATTAAATTAGTTTTCAAATTTAATTGATAACTATACTGCACTTAATAATAGTAATACATATATATAACAATTCTTACAGTATTTAAATATGTTTGGCACTCACGTCAGCGTCCTTCCTTTCAAATAAAAGAAAACCAAAACATATGACGTCTTAGGACTAAAAAATGCCACAGGAGCGACACTACACTTCAAAAATTTGAAACTAGTATCTTAACCTGGCAAGGTGCCAAAGACCCGCCGCCATTACAAAAAGTGTAATATTAGGATTCTATCATCATCTGACATATTAAAATCTTACCGCTAGTAGACGCTAGGTCCACTGTAGATTTTGTTTGTTCATCTGACAGTAAATTGCAGTTTTCTACATCATTACTGGTGGTAATATTTTTCCGATCTTCCAATCTAGGTTTTTTGTAAGCTGGAAAATCAAATAGATTAGGACAACCATCGTCCATTTTCGAAGGTAATGAAATGAAATAACACGGTGCGCAAATGTTTTGCGCGGCTGACGTCAATCGTTCAACAGAGCACGTCATGAATTGACGCGCGAGTTTTATTTCATAGTTGCTAAAAGATTAAGACATACATGGTTTAAACATTAAAACTGTGACAGAATATAAATTTTAAGCTAATGTTAAATGAAAATATTGAATTGTATGAATAAAATATACATAATAGTATAATAAGCATCAAAAATAATCTATGATATGAAGAAAACTCATGGGCTTGCATCAACTAATTAATCTTCACCCTATAACTTAAGAAATATCAATTTTAACAAACAAAGTGAATTAGTACTTTCAACACAGCGGCATGTCTGCGGACTTACAACGCTAGAAACCGGGTTACGATACCCGTGGTGGGTAGAGCACAGATAGCCCATTGTGTAGCTTTCTGCTTAATTACCAACAAACAAATACTTTCAACATTAAAAATGCAATTTTAATTGGACTTAATGATTTCTGTAAGTACAAATTAAAATGCATTTTTATGTAGTGTGATTTCTGCAGTACGTCAATCTTTGAATATCGAAGAAAACTTACAGACATATTGAGAAATATAACGTAAGGATTTGTTAGGATTTATATAAATATAATAGTACGTATATTGTCTGTTGTATGTCCATGTAACTACTTCGCAGGGTGTGGATGGATCTTCACCAGATTTGGCATGAAGGGTTGTTGGGTCCACGCGGAGATACATGAAATCTTGCGGTTTCACATTTTGTTTTACAGTTAGGGTTTTCATATAGCTGTCCTTAATTTTGAGCTGCTGGCTATAGGGGAAGCAGTCAGTATCATCGGTCATCACAAGGGCTTTTCCCATTCTTTAAACCAAATAACGAGATTTACGTTCACACAACTGAAAGTGCGGAACATGTTCTGAGGTATCATTTCTCAAGTCCTGGACTGTTTGATCAGTATTCTGACACGCTAACTACTAGATCATATCTGGCCCATTCGTATTTTATTTTCATTACATCATTATGGTGCAGAGGTGGCGCTATCTTTTGGAGCTATTCGTTATGATATATTAAAATTAACTCAAAATATTATTTTTCAGTTGTAAGATTACGTATAAAGTAACAAAATAATACATTTAGCACTGGAATAAAATTTTAATTTTTTGTTGTTGTTTCAATCAAGAGTTTAATGTTTTGTAATGGTGTCGGAATTTAATATATATATATATTTCTTTATAGTATCAATATATATTATATATATTTTTTAAAATTATAATAAATAATTAAAAATAACGTTTTATATTTACACAATAAAAATTTATTGAAGCCATACGGCTTCAATAAAGTTTTTATTGTGTAATTATAAAACGTTGTTTTTAATTATTTAGTATAATTTAACTAATATTAAACACAAGTGCCGGTAGTGCATATACTATATTGTTGTTGGGCTTAGGATTCTTCTACAGTAGGTGTCTGTGACTTGTTAGCGATAAATTCAACGATAAATATACAGCACGCACTTCACTTGTTTTCAAAATAATATATATATATTCGGAACAAGTTAACGCATGTACAACAAATTATTCAACACTATAGATATTATAGACATATCATACATACCATATTTTTAGTTTTCTCCTTCTTGTCAAATATCCACTTAGGCCTATTCAGTTACTTTAGAATTTCACTTGACAATCCGAACTATCTTCTCTATTACTATTGCACTAGTATCTTGTGTGTGATTCTCTTACTATTGTGGCGCAAGTTACCGTAATCGTTTGGTCTTCTTTCTTCTGAAGATCCTCTGTTCCTTTTGTCAAAGTGCATTGAGGCTGATTCAATTACTTTAGAACCACGCTTTGACAGAACAAATTATTCTATTATCTCCGTTTCTACTGTTAGTCTTACTCTAACATATTAAACGTTAGGCCTATCACATCTACAGTAACTACATCATCCTTTTATAACTTTACTTTCTTCTACTGCTTCTCGCTCATCTCACTGTATTTATATCTTCATCACCTAATCTTCTGCCCGACTTCTATATTCTCGACGTCAATGTATTGCACGCGACGTTCGATAGTCTCAACATCAATGAATTATTAACAAAACCTCCTACAATCGTCTGCTTTAAACCCTTATTATAACAATAATAAAATATTCACCCACAAAAATAAATCAGTCAATAACATCTAAACCAAACAGTCTTTTATATCATGACAAATGGTTTTCATTAAGCAATTACAAGCATATCAGGTTGTAGTGTAGAACAGACTTAAGAAGTTTGAAGACAGTTACTGTAATAGCATAATATTTCTTGTGTATGGTTAGTTTAATTTTATGTCAGAATTGTTTGCAAATTTGTTAAAACTAATTAAATATTGTAATAAATAAATAAATATATTATGTCAGCCATTTGTAGTGCAGTTTCACCTGGTAGGTGTCTCACACGCAGAAAACAAGTTTATTGTTTTCAAAGATTTGAATACGTAAATAATGGGAGGCTATAAACATATATTTACAGAAGTATAAATCTGTCTTTAGAAGGATTAAGGATAATAAAGTTAAAGTGAGCATTAATGTGGTAAATGCACTAATATGCTAACATATGACTTTTCAGTTTTAAGGATAAATCATTCAGATAGTGGGACTGAATGAAAAATATATAAATTTCCTTTTAGTGACCTTTTGGTTGTTGTTCGTAATTTCTGTTTTAAGTTCGTAGAGTATAGGTATCTTCGCGTAAAGGTTAGGGCTTAAACGCTAAAATTCTTGGTTTAATCCCCCTAGTGGACACAGCACGTATAGCTTGTTGTGAGCTTTATGATTAACAAAAAATGAACTGTTGTAAGTAATATTTTTTGATAATATAATCTAGATATTTATTTGTTGAAGGGAGCTAATCACGAGGTGGGTAAATATCTAGAATATTCATAAAAGTTAAGGCATCTGTATACTCTAGAAATTTTATGCAGTCAATGGGAACAGTGGTGTGATACAAGAATAAGTAATCAGTAAAGAAGTCAATGAGTTATGCTTGAGTTAGTTCAGTGCTAGTTAGACAGTAGGGAATAGTAAGTTTGTGATTAAAATACTGCAAATAAGTTTATTTGTCAGTTAGGCGTTCATAATTCTGGAAATTTTCTATGCCTCTAAATTGTTTTAATAGAGATATTATTCTGTTGTTTTTTGTTTCAAATCATCTCACAACAGAGTGTAAACTTAAACGTTTAAATGTAATTATCCGAGGGAGAATTTCGGGGGTACATGATTTTGAGATGCTAATTAAAGTTACGTCTCACTCACTTTAATTTATTTATACACTAGCGAAAATACCCAGTTGATAGTGTGTGTATTCTGAACCCATTTTAGCATAAAAGTATAACATATATACTTTTGTTCCTAAGCAATATGACATAAAAGCCATTGTTAGAACAAATTGTTGCCAAAACGCACTGGCTTTTCTATATATTAGAAGTTGTTATATAAGGTACCACTTCCTTTCTATGTGGTTTTTCACTAGCTTGCCTCATTAAAAAGATTCGCGCGCGCGCGCACTCAAGTGAATAATATAACTAATACCTAGTTGCACACACTTAGGGTACACATAGTATACAGTTCTTTTCTATGTAGTTTGTCGCTAGCTTGCCTCATAAAAAGATGCGCACGCGCATTCGCGCACGCACATAGATAAGTAATAATACCCAGTTGCACATCCTCAGGGTCCACTTAGTATGGGTGCAAAAATTCAGGATTCTAGGTTCTTTTCTCTTGGAGCTATGGGGTCACATTTCTTTTCTATGCGGTTTTTTGCTAGCTTGCCT